AGTTATGACTCATTGTCAGGAGTGGATTATACAGAGCGGCGTTTTCTTAGTCATGACATTTCAAGCACACAAAGTAAACACTTTCAACAAGTTTGCGTAACAAACTGGTAGTGCTATATTTTTCTTAATTTCTTCCTAATATGATGAGGTCCACAGCAGAATTATGGAACAGCTTGTTTGTGTGTGAACTAAAATAAAAATTTGGCATCATGTTGGAGGAACATTTCCTTCTACAGAGTCTATAAATGGCAACCATTGGTTTGAGGAGATAAAAAAGACTCTGAGATGTTAGGTCTCGGACAGTTTTGACAAAAAGGAAACATATTCCTTCAGTGTTGCTGATGAAAAAACTCCTCCCTTGAGATGTTTCATTTACAAACTGGCAGACTTTAGCAAGAAAATGACTCTGATAGGCACCATTCTGGAACGTGGCAGGAGCAGATCCAGCTGAATTTGCAAGTCTGGTAGGAATAGGTCAGCAGAAACCCAAGAATTGCTAGTCAATCAGGACATTTCACAGTTTTCAAGCTCTCATTTTCTCACCATGCAGCAATTGCTACAACTGGTCAGTTTACATATCGGACCATATAGCTTGCCATCTCGAGACGCAGGAATTAGACATTTGTAATGTACACTTACTCTAGGTCACCAACACTATCACAAAGTCCAAACATACTTGGATTTTTTTTTTAAGCAGTTACTACAACTTCTAACGTTTCTTCAGCTGCGATGAAATGGCTGCCTGGCAAGTCTGTGGAATGTTGTAGAAAGCTACTGTTTACCTTTCAGGCAAGAGGTTGGTGGTGACGTTATAATTCTACTATGATCAGGTCAGAACTTCTGGAGTATACGTGAAGGAGCTGCTGTCCCTCTTCATACCTATTTATAGTCACCCTCTGATGGTCTAATGCTGCTCTAGGGCTGGGATGAAATTAGCCTGACTCCTGACTGGGAAACTATCGTTGTCTGTGTGTGTGTGTCCTGGGGCTCAAACTCAGGACCTAGGATCTCATACTTGTTGGTAAATGCTCTACCATTGGGCCACAATATATTATCTTTTTCGCCCCTGGCCATCCCTCATTCAGTAATCTTTATCTGAAAAAACGAAATACTGTTTTTTTGTTCTGTTTTTTTTCTTGGACTTCAGTGCTGGACAGAATTTTGCTTCCTTTAAGTAACACCTTTTGAAAGTGGCAATTGTGAACTGGTTGGGACACCTGGATACCTTAATCTGTCGCTCAACATTCTGTTTACTGCTTTATGACAACAAAAATATGTATCCTTCTCAAGGGTCAATTTTAAGAATTTGCTCTCTTTGTCCCTTAGAGTTGTTCAAATACCAGCTCGGTGAACCGGTGGCGGACGGTTTAAGAAAGTAACAACAACAGCAGCAACAACAAAAAGGATCTGACTTGGAACAAAGTGAAAAATGACTCCAAGGGATTCTCATGGTATTGCTTCCTCACTGCACAGCTCAACTGCTGGAGTTTCCCCCTTGAGAATCAAGCCTGGGATCTTGTCCCTTCTCTGCTTTAATGTGACCCTGGGAAAGCCGGCTCAAGCTTTACCCTGAGAGATGTCAATGAGAGTAAAAAGAATTTACAACAATTCCCACAGCACGTTTGCTAGACTTCAAGTGTGGAGGTCTTTATATATAAATGAACTAGAGGAGAAGCAAGGTTGAACAGTAAGGACTGAACTTTTCGGCTTCCCCATTACTAAAGTACTAGAAATGTGATCATTTATCTTGTTTATCTTCTTTATAGCAGATCTCAAGTGGGGAAACATCTTTAAAATGTCTACTATTATTAACATGGATCAAAATGTAAAATGTGTGGAATTATATTCAGTAAAATCTTTCTCTTCAAAATTTACCCTCCAGTGTCTGGACTCCCCAAGATACTTTCAAGATATCATGAATCATGTAAGTTTCTGGAAGTTTATTTGGGGGAGTTTATTTTGGAAGTGTATTTTTATAAATTATTTTGTTTATATGAACAAAAATATGTATGCAATGTAAGTATATGGGTTTTATCTGCTTAATAGGAATGGTAGCATACTATTGACAATTTTGCATTTAAAATTATGCACATGATGTATTTTAGGAGATTATTTCATAATTGTACAAAGATCCTTCTCATTTTCTTTTTTGGGGGAGGTGGGTGGCAGGTTTCAAAACAGAGTTTCTTTGTATAGCCCTGGCCATCCTGGAACTCTCTGTAGACTAGGCTAGACCCAAACTCAGAGATCTCCTGCCTCTGCCTTCTGAATGCTGGGATTAAAGGAGTGCACCACCACCACCCAGCTCGTTTTCACGTCTTCATAGGATTTGTTTAATAGCTATGCCATAGTTTTTAATTACTGAACCCTTATTCACGAGTTCATTAATCAGCATGTTGTTTTTCAATCTGTTATTACTAGACACAGGACTGAAATAAACAAGGTTTTATACACACGCAATTTGTTGGGTGTAATATAAGATAAACTCTCATATGTGGACTTTTTAATAATAAAAAAAAATCTGTGCATCGTAATCTGTTAGTATTTTGAATTGCCCTCTATAGAGGTCACTATAAGTTACATTCACATCTGCATTGTGACTGCCTATCTTCACATACACTAACACCCGGTGACTATCAAATGTTCTAATCTTTGACAGTTTGCCAAATGGAACAGAGACTTTTAAATACAGTCTTTAACTTTCATTTTTCCTCCCAGAGGGGCGGAAAACATGCTAACTTTTCTTTAGAACATAGGACCACAAAGTTATGCTGAGTTGTTATCTGATCCTTAATATCATTCCCTGGCTTTGTGGCAGGTCAGCATTCAGAGTTCAGAGGTCAGGAACTTGGCTACGTGCCCAGAGCTAAGAGGAACAGAAAAGCCAATAGGCCTTATTTCATGACTATTTGGCTGGACGGAGTCTCTGATGATGTCCCTAGATCACTTCTGTTTTTATGTGAATTCAATTAAAAGCTAAGTTTCTGATTTCCACACCCACAAAAATATCTCCAATTACTTCAGTGTTTTTTGTTTTCTTAATTTGTCTTGTAGAAATAAGAAGTAAAAGTGAGGCCGGGCGGTGGTGGCGCACGCCTTTAATCCCAGCACTCGGGAGGCAGAGCCAGGCGGATCTCCGTGAGTTCGAGGCCAGCCTGGGCTACCAAGTGAGTTCCAGGACAGGCGCAAAGCTACACAGAGAAACCCTGTCTCGAAAAACAAAACAAAACAAAAAAAAAAAAAAAAAAAAAAAAAAAAGAAGTAAAAGTGGTTCTATATTTATAGATAGAACTAAATCACACAATAGAATGGAATCGGTGTGGGAGTGTGGGGGTGTGTGGAGTAGGTTGGGCCAAATCATCCGGGTCACATGCGGGTCATAAAAGTTTAAATAATATGTTTAACACAAGGAGTATTCTCCTTGGGGAGGAGGCATGTTGCCAATTAGCATAATTATCTCATGACTTGTCAGAAAAACATCCGTGGCTTTTTTGGTTTTGTTTTGTCATGTGCCTTTTGCACAAGGAAGAGTTATCCAATGGTGTTTAATGCTGTATCACTTTAAAATTAGTCACATGATTTCCCTGTCAGACGGAGATCATGTTACAGCAGGGATTTCAAAGATAAGTAAGAGACATTATCTATTGGGACATAGGAAAAAAAAGAGATGTGTGTGTGTATGTGTGTGTGTGTGGGGGGGGGTAGTTGGGCCTGCCTTGTCCTCCACCATAGTGTGACCGCGTGCAAGTCACTTGGCTTTTCTGACTTCACTGTCCTCACTTGAATAATAGAGATAATAATCTAACCTATTTACACCAGGGTCTACTTGTGAGCAAAGAATGGATCATTGTCCACGTGAAAGCACTTAAAGCTATAAACAGCAATGCTTTTAGTTCACCCAGCATTCTCAGCATAGGCAACTTCTGAAGTGCTCTCCCCCACCCCCAGCACTCCCGCCCCCCCGCCCCGCCCCCGCGCTCCTAGAAACTTAAAATGCTTTCAACAATGCCATGCCAGGCAGTTTTATATATGCATACAAACATGCATATATTAAATTTAGAGTTCCGATGATCTGACATTTAATGGTTCACAAATGTTTTTTTTTTATCTCTCACAGGCGGACGGACTACCGATCTTTAGGAAAAGTTTGTATTAAAATATGTCTAGTGGAGGCTGGAATTTCCTCAGTTCGTCCAAGAACAAGGACTTTGTCTTTAAAGTGGTCTGATCTAACTTCTCTTCTTCCGAGTCCCACAACCTTTCCACTTTTTATCTGAACATCTCACAGCTGGGGTGCTCGTTTCTCTAATGTTTAATAGGTGCTCGCTAATCTGCTCGGAAGTCTGAAGACAATATAGAGCTCAGGTGGGACTCGCCCGAGGGCAACCAGTGCTGGTTCCTTACAAGCCCCTGAGCAGAAAATTCTGCCACTTTCTCACCTCCCAACCCCAAGGCAGTCTGCCGCCCGCGAGAAGCAAAAGGACTGGGAACTCAGGCTGCGAGGGGGTGGGGCGGGGGATCTAGGAGGAACCGAGCCTCTCTCTGGCTAGCCTGTCCGGTCCTGGGGCCCCCCAAACTGGGCACCACAGAGCTTGGCTCGCCCTCGGGGACGGGGACCTGAGTGGTCTGGGGACGCGCGGTGCAGCCAGGTGCGCAGTCAGCAGCCACCCGCATCGCGACGCACGTGGCAACAGGTGCAGCGCGGTCCAGGACCTACGCCCGGGGCTTCCGGCGTGCAGACGTTTAGCCTGGGAGCCGGACCCGGCGGGCGATCGTAGCTGAGCTCCGTGGGAGTCTTGTGCCCCAAGGAACCCCGGCACGTCTCTCAGGTTAGTTTCTTAGGGCGCCGCCCCCTGGGCCCCCACCTGGCCTTTGTCTGGGCTCGAGGAGCCGCCGCGGGCGAGGGGCGAGGCTGCCCAGCTCAGGACTCCCCGCCTTCGCTCCTCCCCCTGGTGGCCCAGGGCGGGGAGGCTGGGGCTCCCGGGTTCCCGGTTCCCGGTTCCCGCCTGGCCACCGCCGCCGCCTCCGGGGGTGCTGGCGCGGGTCCGGGTCGAGCTGCGAGCCCCAGGTGTCTACGCCTCCCAGGCTGGGTCAGCCCAGGGTGCAGAAGGGAGCCCACAAGCGGTGGCTCCCGGGAGGGCTCCGGGCTGCCTCCCAGGCTCTGCGGGCAAGTGCGGTGTGGATCCCATTCCGCCGCCCATCCCGGCCGCCCGCCGTGGGGACCTCGGGAGAACGTGGAGCTAAGCCGCGGCGACTGCAACTCGCTCACGGTGACCGGACTGGCTTTCGGGGGGGAGTGGGCGGGTGTCCCGGGGGTTTCAAAGTTGGAGGAGTGAGTGGGAAGGCTGGACTCACGTGCCCCCCCCGCCCCCCCTCCCGCGCAGCTCCTGCAGGACAGCGGGTTGCCGTTGCTGTCACCTTGAAAGTGACCGAGGTGGTGGTGGGTTTACACTAGATCCGGCGAACTGTCAAGTTTGCCACCTTGGCCGAAAGCCACCCACCAGGCGCCGGACCCCGGCTCAGGGCCTGGCAGCCGCAGGCTTCCGCCTGGGCGTCTTGCCGGGGCCCATTCCCAGCTTTAGCAGCCAGGGCAGAAAATATGGGAGAAAGGGAATTACTGCAGTTCCCCAGGTCCCTATGCGGGATTACTCCCTGCAGCCCGCGGGTATTTACAAGCTCTATGGAAAACCCCTCCTTTATGGTCACCTATTGACTACTCAACCATGGACTTAGCTAGAACTACGTGGTCTTTGCCCTCCTCTCCTAGGGTCATTTGTTCACTTTGGACTTGTTAATAGTGACGAATTTAATTTTTTTAGACTTAGCTTGCACAGTAGTACACACTCTGCAAAATACTGTTTTTAAATCGTCCGTGTTCTAGGAAAGGAAACCCAGTGAGTTTTGTTTGTCTAAAAGCAGAGTCTTAGGCAAAACAGGAGGACAGAGAGCTTTCATGTCTTGCCAGGTGATTGGAGTTCAATCATGGTATCAAATCACAGCGCTGTGGGGGAGGTGGTGGGAGTGGATTCCGGGGATCAGGAGACAACTTGGAAGGAGGACAGCAAAAGAGAGGCGGGGTCATGCTCCCCTGAACCTATGACCTCCATAAGGAATGTTTTACCAATAGGTTATCAATTTAAATAATTCATCATCTCCCATTCTCTGCAGCAGTTCCTTCAGGAAAATCTATATTCTGTTGTGTGGGTGTATGTGATTAAACTCATTGTTTACAGACTCATTTCTCAAGAAGTCTACTCCATAAGAAAAGTTATGCAAGAAAAAAAAAAAGAAACCCCCATTCTTACCCTGTGTTTTTTAAAATAAAATTTAGTCTAAAATAATTTTAAAAATGTAAGTTATGATTTTCTTCACCTGCCAACCCCACCTTGTGCTGTGGATGGAGCTAAGAGTTTTGCATATACCAAACACCTGGATTATCACAGGTGTCTGCCCCCCCCCACCTGTTCCTTTTAAAACTAGATTTATGTGGGGAGGGGAATAGTGTTTGGGAGAGGTCTGTACCTTTTAATTAACCGTTAGGAATCCAAGGACAGTTTTTGTAGTGTTTAATAGGATTGTGAAATTCTGGATAAATTTTGTGTAGAATTTTTAGAAGCTAAATTTGAGTGACTAGAATTAAGCATTTAAAGAAGCATGCCACTTAGTGACTTCGTTTGCACTGACTTCAAAAGGAATGAATGGCTGATGTGTACAATTCGGTACATTCAGAAAAGTAAGTCAATCCCACCATCTATTTTTTTTCCTTTGTAAAATATTATGAAAAGTTCTTCACTATATCAAATCTTCAACATCTCAGTTTATTGTTACAGTATATTCTATAGATGTATCAATTTACTTAACCTTGTCTTACAAGCCGAACTTTTCATTTGCTGTTACTGTTATTAGATATAAAATTGCAACATTTATCTCTTGAAAACTTTGTATGTACGGTATGTTTCTTTAGGATACTGTCCTTGGAAATCAAAATTGGTGACTCAGTTTCTTTTAAAAATACTGACGGTTGGTTTCCAAAACTATTCAGTCAAACTAAACTGACCAGCTCTGAACTCTTGTGTTCGATCTTACCACAGGTAATTATCCTTAAAAGGAAGTATTATTATCAGCTTTATAGTTGAACAGTGCTATCTCAGTATTTAACTTTCCATTTTTGTGACTGCAAATGTTATCAAGCACCCCACCTATGTTCCCAGTTTCTTTTCTTTTTTCTTTAGATAGGGTTTCGCTGTATAGTTCTGGTTGTCTTGGAATTTGCCCTGTAGACCAGGCAGGCCTTGAACTCAGGGATCTGCTTGCCTCTGATTCAGGAATGCTGGGATTAAGGGTGTGTGCCACTACACCCGGCTAATTTTATTTCTTTTTAATTCAGTCTAGCATCAGATTTTCTTCTTGGGATATTAGTGTTTTTCTACTCATAAAAGCCTCTTTCAGGTTGTTGGCATATGTCTGTGCATATTGCAGATATTTTCCTCAATTTGTGTTTGCCCTATAAACACTTTTATAGTTGTGATGACTTACAGAAATATTCAGTGTTGTCAAACATGTTGGTTTTTCTCAAAATGGAATTTCAGTAGTTCTGAATCATGGTTTATGAGTCACATATGGCTGTTATTTCTTCTGGAATTCTGAGTTAGATTCTTTTTACATCTATCACTACAACTTCTGTGTTCTTGGAGAAGCTGCTGTTGTGCAAATGAGAAATTGTCAAGTGTGGTGTATGTCCTTAGGACATTCTGGGGGCTGGAGAAAGGGCACAGTCCCTGGCTGCTTCTAGAGGACCTGGGTTTAGTTTCCAGCACCCACCTCAGGAGGCTCACAGATGCCTGTAACTCCAGCTGCAGCCCCAGTGTTCTTTGGGGGCCCTTTGTAAGCACCTGCACTCATTCAGAACAGAACATTTAGAGACAGTCTACATAAATCTTGGGTGAGAATTTTCCTGGTTCTTTGGGACCTGAGTAATCTCTAAACCATAGATTATCCATTTAATCTTTGAGACTTTTTTCCTCTCCTGGAAACTCTGCAATTACCCTAAAACTTGAGTTGAACACATACATATAATGAAACTCTTAGAATGTATCTGTAAGCTTGATGTGTCTTGCCTTGCCCCACCCTAAAGCTAAAGAAAGGGATGAAGATGATCTAAGTATTTGATAGTGGTGGCGGCACACACCTTTAATCCCAGCACCCAGGAGGCAGAGACAGGCAGATCTGAGTTTGAGGCCACCCTAGTCTACAGATAGAGTTCCAGGACAGCCAGGGCTAAACAGAGAAATCTTGTCTCCAAAAAAACAAAAACAAAAACAAAAACAAAAACAAAAACAAAAACAAAACAATCAATCAATAAACAAGCCTCCATCTGACAATCCCACCTTTGTATTTTGTCAGTGATAACGCTCAACATAGATCTATGTTGCCCTAGTATTTTGGAAGAGAATTTTAACTTGTTGGCTACCTTACCAGTTATAGTCTGTGAGCATTTGAATTTATTGATGGTATTGTAATGTGTTCTGTGCTATCAATAGAGCCAACAAGTCAATATTTAGCAATGCCTTTGCAGAAACCTTTTAGCTTGCATTAAAAACTTTTGAATTTATGTATATGAACATTTAGCCTGAATGTATGCAAGTGCATCGAATGCATGTCTGATGCCTACAGAGGTCAGAAGAGGGTGTCAGGTCCCCTGGAGTTGGAGTTATAGACAGTTGTGAGCCAGGATGTGGGTATTGGGAGCTGAGCCAAGGTCCTCTGCAAGAACAGCAAATGCTCTTAACCACTGAGTCCTCTAGCCCCTTAGCTGGCATTTTTATGGCATCCAAGAAGGTGAAATTGTGATAGCAAGGAACCGGAATGATCCCAAATCAAGTATTTGTAAGAGCATTAGGGCTTGGAATGAGGCAGCATCCTCATCCTTATCCCATAGCTAGGTGGCAATGGATTGTGTGTTTGGTTAGATGATGACTAGAGCCTAGTCTGATGATGCATGCCTGCAATGTAGCACTGGGAAGGTAGATGCAGTAAGATTGGTGTTGTTCAAGACCAGTGTTGGCTACAAAGTAAGAAGGCATGGCCTTCTTTGGGTTACATGAGCCTCTATTTCAAAAGTAAATTGTCAAAGTCTACAAAAGTCTACAGATTTCACATGAGATGTGATGGACCATCCACATGGACTATTCAGAGAACGTGTCTGTAAGGATTTCTGTGTAACAGCTCAAATGGTTTCAGATTTTCTGATGACCAGAAAATGTTTTTTCTTCTGACTTTGTTGTCTCTTGTTCAAGTGAATTTAATAATGCAGTTGAAATCACATACTTACTAAGAAACTATGTACTATACCATCAAAACAAAATAAAAACAAAATCTGAGAAAATTTAAATCCCTGGGATTGAAAGTCTTTCAGATTTGTGGCTCTGAGGATGATGAAGTCTCTAACAGTCCATTTGCAGATTTTACCAGATTTTAGTTTTATTCTGAATTGCTAATACAAGTGTTTTCTTGATGTCCAAATCTATAGTTTATAATTTTCCCAAATTAATTTCTGACATTATTAATAGATTATTCTTTTGACGGGGACAAAAAGCCTTTCCAAGCTTGAGATAGCTCTACTATAGAAGCCTGATTGTACCTGTAGATCTTTACAGACCTCACTGAAAGGAGCAGGTTGATAATTAGCCCCTTTCTTTCGAACTGTCCTTAGGTTCTGGGGGTGAGTCACCAAGCTGAGAGTTAAGAATGGCTGTTCATGGCTTGTGTTTGGGTATCCAAAGATGCCTCCGATAGGAGACCACACTCAACTGGCAGTGAGAGAGGGAGGGGAGGGAGTGCACTAATGACTGAAGATATGTGTTCCTCCTGAAGAGGAAAAAAAAAAAAAGGTTGCTCTGACAGGCCCAGCTAGCCTGAAGTCTGTTTTTTTAAGTCTGCTTTGACAAGCATGCAGACTTTAGATGACGCAGCCTCCATCCTTTGCTTCGGATGGTCCAGTATAATTAGGAATTGAGTGTGACTGTTTCTTTTTTGAAATGTTTGTTTCTAAGCTGGATTTCATAAAGGATTGTCTTGATGACAGTTACAGTTTTTAAAATGACTTCAACGTTACTTGAAAACAAGTTGCCACCTTTTCTCATGGGCGGTTATTCCATGATGGCATGGAGTATGACTTTGGCTTGTTCACTGGGCCCAAGATAAAGGAAAGAATGTGCATTTTGGGATAATATATTTGGAGCTAGGTCTTTACTTTGTAGAAAAATACAGT